GCACTGTTCAGTGTGCTAGTGAGCATTCTCGGCTTCTTCTTTCAGCTCATTCCAACCACCGAGCACGCCACAACGAACCACAACAAAGCAAAACTTGTCCACCACCACTTCTCATCATGGCTCATAATCATCATTTTGGGGACATTTCCGGCGGCGGCGGAAATGTTATTGCTCCTGTGGAAGCCCCAGAAGATGCAGCTGCTCAGGAAGCTCAGGCCGTTCAGGCAGTTCAAGCAGTTCCGGCAGCTCAGGAAGTTCAAGCAGCTCAGGTTGCTCAGGTGGCTGCTGGAGAAGCTCCCGGACCAGTTCAAGCAGCTAACTTTCCGTCATTAGCTCCACTAGTTCTACCACCAATAATGCAGGCCGCTCCGGCGGTGGAGGAAATGCGAGGTTTTTATGCAGTACTCCCGGTGGCTCAAGCAAATCAAGCTGTGCAAGTTCATGCAGCAGCTCCAGTGGCCGCCGCTTTCGGTGCTGCTGCTGCTGCAGCTGCTGCTGTAGCCCATCCGGGTGCTGGTAATGTTCTCGCTGTACCGGTTGCCTACCATTCGGCCGCCCACCCTTCAGTCAATATAATGGCTGCTCCGGTTCAAGCTCCGGTTCAAGTTCAAGCTCGTGCTGCCTTGTGGGAAGCTCCTCGCCATCTGGACGCCTGGTACGACCGGGGTCCCACCTTGCGGGAGTACGCAAACAACAACAACAACAAACGGTTTCTGGCCGCCGCAACCTACGCTGCCGCAGGCAACGGCGGAAATCACAACGACAACAACAACAACAACGCCGAAGATTTGACCACTGAGATGACTGAGGTAGGCCTAACAAAGTCTGACATCTTTCAATGTATCGATCAACCACTCAAAATCCTATTTAAATCACTTTTTCTCCTTCATCTTTTCTCACAGGAGAAGAAGCGGCAGAAAGAGGAGCAGGCCGAGCTGACGAACTGTATTGCCGCCAAACGCCTGAAGACCGATCCCGAGCTGGAGGAGGCACTCTCCAGTGGCAAACTGTCCGATGTGCTGCTTCGCTTTCCCGACTCCTCAGAGACGATCCCCGCCCACCGGCTGATGCTCGCCAAGGGCTCGCCCACCTTCGAGGCGATGTTCAGCACCGACATGGTGGAGAAATTGAAGGGCGAGGTGATGCTGCAGGACGTCCGACCGGAGGTGATGCGCCTGGTGCTGCGCTTTCTCTACAACGCCAAGCCGCTGGAGCAGGAGGAGCTGCAGATGCACGCCGTGGAGCTGTACAAGGCAGGGCATATGGTAAGGAGGATTGATGAAGATGATGATGATCAATTCTTTTACTATTGTTAATTACTTAACTTTTCTCAAATTTGTTTTTGTAGTACCAAATCGAGGGGCTGAAGAAACTCGCCGAGCTCGCCCTGCTGGTCAATGCCCAGCAGGCGGCCGATGATGAGGCGAAGCAGCTGGTGGCCACCGCCGAGCTGTACGGCCTGAAGGAGCTGCGACAGCGTACGCTGACGGCGGTGAAAAAGTAAGGGTTTCATGCACTCGTTCACGTGTAGCTTTGTTGATCTAACTTTTTGTTTTATTTTATCAATGCACATCTTTTGCCTGTCAATCATCAGTCGTCTAGTCACCAAGATAAAAGGCGCTCCACTGGATAAGCACCTGCTGAACATTGAGGCGGTCGTTAACGCTCATAAGCAACTCATGCGACGAATAAAAAATCAGTTGGTAAGTAGTATCACCAGCCAGTT